GCTCATGTTCACCTGGCTGTCGACCAGCACCCCAAGATCCTTTTCTGCTGGGCAGCTCTCCAGCCACTCTTCCCCAAGCCTGTTATTTGAGTCTGTGGCGGTTCTGGGGAAGTGCAAGGCGTTGCAGAGAGGGGACAGCCCAAGCTTGTGTGAACCAAGTCCCACCAGGAATGTTTTATTTCTTTTTGTAGAACTGTGATATTATTTGTAACTGGGGATTTTATGTCGTGGCCCATGACGTTAAACATAACTTTGATTTCCATCAGTCTTGGCTGTTCACTTTTCTTCCTTCTGTTGGCTGGAGGAGAGAAGAGGGATTGTTAGGGCAACAGCAAGACATGGTCAAATGGCCCAAAGCCACCTCCTTCCCCTTTTCTGAGGAACTTTTCTGTCCCATGTCTTGGCCCTCTCTTCTCTGCCCTTGGGTGACCTGAAGAAAGAGAGAGGCCATTGCTGAGGTCGGGTGCATGGCAGGACTGTGTCCCTCCAGCTGCACTGCCGAGCAACATGCTAAGCCACTGGATAAGGGAGGTCCTACAAGACCCCAAAAGCAGCATCACACAAGAACAAGGAAAGACTCGGGCGTTTTGGAGCTGCCATCCTTATTCAGTTTTGGGACTGAGGATGATGAAGTCCTCTCCTAACTGAATTTAAACTCACCTGGCTGGTCCGACTCCCCGATAATTGCTGCAAACACGGATCTGACCTGGCATTGTGGCACCCGGAGAAAACCCTGGTGCCCAAAGCCCTCTTTCTCCAACTGCCCCTCTCAGACTCTTGCCGTTGCTTGGAACTAAACCCCATCTTTCCCAGCAGCTGCTGGCATATTTGCCTTTATTTTGGTCTCCCATCCAGACACCCTTGGGTGGGCTACCTGCTTCTCTTCGCCTTGGCACAATTTCTCCTTTTTTGGATCTGGCTGGGTTTTTGGATTTCTCTTCCGGGTTTTCTCCACAGAGAATCTGGCTGCATGCTTCATGCTGCAAGAGATACTCTTTGGAGGTCCCTGGGTGGACTGCAAGGGACCTGAGGATTTGCTTAGAACAAAGTTGAAAGGAGGTTTATCCTATGTAAGGGCAGATTAATCAACATAACATCCTTGGAAATGGAGTTTGGGTCCAGAGAAGGATAGAAATACAACAGTAATTCAGTTTGGGAGACTTTGAATGAAGAAGGCACAAGCTTGCTGACCAGCTTTCCTAGCCACATCATTCTCTGCTCTGCGAATGGCTGTGGGGGTGATGCCATGCTACACCCTTTCACCCTGTCTCCCACCACATATTCATCTATCCCTAAGGATGCGATGTCATGGCATGTCAGTGCTCTCCCTGACTACGTGTCCCTCGGCATGGCAAGCACTGTACTCGTCTCAACTTGACTTGATCTAATTCCTCACTTAACAACTTTTTAATCCTTTCAGCCCTGCAAACAATGCTGGCTGGGGGCCCAGGTATCGCTTCATCTCCAGGGTATGCTGGAGCACCAGCCCTCCAACCCTTTGGACTCACGGAGAATTTTACTTTCCTCAAGCATTTGTGCACCAGCTTCACACAGGGAATCATCTGTCTTCCCTCTTCCCGTGGTTAGGGGCAGAACAATCTAGTTCATAGGGAACAACCGGGAAACCCCAGCCATATCTTGAGGAGTGAGCTAAAGCAGCCTTGTTAAACCAGTGATGAACTCCTGGGCTGATACAGTCACTCAGAATCGCTAATTCCAATTAGCTTAATGCCACTCCAAAATGATGTTTGAAAAACCAAACCAAAACAAATACCAAATGAAGGCCACTTTAATTCCAGCTAAGAGCATCTACTTGGGATGTTAATAGAGTTTACTAATCCAGTTTAAAATTAATTTGGATTAATTTGAGATGCTTGCTAGTGCATGGGCTCTTATCAGAGCTCCTGAAAGTCTGCGTATGCTGTTTCCCTGGCATGGCTGACAGCGTGTGGAGCAGGCCTCACCACGTCTCTGCAGGAACCAGGGCAGGGTTTCACCCATGTCTGGGACCCGCGTTTGAGTAGACAGAGTAAAGGGGGGGTTCTGCTACAGAGTAATCACTGTAGCTATCAACATATTTCTACGTGAAGAAGTATAATGTAGGCCTCTCCCTTCAAAACACAAATTTAAGTTAATTTGTTGGGAAGGTAAAGACCACCCCAGATCTGGGATCTGGAAGGACTCATAACACCCTTGATAAAGGGTCATTACTGCTGTCAGCAGCCAAGAAACAATCCAGCATCCCAACCACATCACAGAGAAGTTCAGGGAAGCCAGCAAACCCAAGGCTTAGGTTGGAGAGCACAACCCTGAGCCTGTAACAGTTCTTTGCCTTTGGACCATAGGTCGTACACATTAATTTGACATCCCTCAGACACCTCTGAGATGAGAAACTGCTTTTGTCTTACCAAGAAAACTTCAGGTCAAACACTTGTGTCACTTAGATGTTTATGCACAGAGTGGCTTGGATGGACCCTTAAGTCCTTTGACAATTATTAAAAGTTCAAGTGACCCAGAAAGACCAGAGCAGCAAATGCTGTCCGGTGGGTGTGGAGATGACAATCTGGCCAAGCGAGGAGAGAGGAGAGTCCCACCTCTCTGCACCTCAACCCCAGCCCCGTTAAGCACGTTGGAGCTGGAGAGGAGAGAGCTGGACGGTGCTGTGTCAGGTATTAACTTTCCTGGCAGTCTGGGAACGGAGATTGACCTCTGGCAGGAGGAGAGGGAAGAAGTAAATAAACACTGGAAACAATCCAGGTGGGAGGATCGAGTTTCTGCTTTAAAGAGTTTCCACAAGGAGAAGGATGGTTTAGAGTCCAGGGGCCTGACCTACTGCACAAGAGACTTTGCCCAAGTCTCTTCTCTGCTACAGATTTCCTTCTCAGTCTTGTACAAGCTTTTTGGTTTCTTGGTAAGTTCTGGCCAAATAACCCAAATGTGAACAGACACTGTGATAAAATGGGGACCTTCTATCCCCTTCTTTGCTCGTGCCCTGGAAGGAGCCCAGTCTGCAAAGCTGAAAGAGGAAAATAATTCAGCTAATTCACTCCCTCCTCTTTCAGCGGGACAAGAACCAAGGCAGCAGCTGGTTATCTTCTAGGGAGGTTTTATAAGGATATGTGGTGTCTTCACACAGGTGAACTCTCCTCTTGAAGCAGTTTGCGTGGCTCAGCAGATACTCTGACGCCAGCTCTTCATTAGCAAGGAGGATGGTGTGACCTTGGGGAGCAGCCAGGTATTGAGCCTGCTGTCACCCCTCGCTTCTTGCCACCCCGTGCACACACAGATGGAGATTTAGTGGTTTCCAACACACCCAAGCATCTCGCCTCCCTGCTTATAAATCACACAGAGATGAAAGGCTGTTTGGAAGCCGAAGATGAATGCAGGAAACATTGACGCAAGCTGAGATCGCTCAAAAATGAGCAAATGGTGTTGGGGGCCCTGGGCACTTAGCAGTTCAGCCATCTGCCCCTCTTCCCGCCTAGGCACCTCCGCACCCGGGCAGCGGCGGGACTCTTGTTTGTCTGTTCCCCCTCATTAGGAGCAGGCGCTTGAATGGGCACATGCGTACAGTCAACAGTGCCTTGGGACAGATGGGAAATTAGCCACAATGTAAGAAAGTAAAATACACCCTCGTGATTAACCTGCGGTTCTGGCTGCTTCTAGGTAAACACATGCACCATTAGCTGCTCCCCCAGTGCAGACGGGACCCGGGTACTCGGAGGGGCAATGCCCTGAAACGCACAGGGCTTTGGTTCTTCTTGTGCACAAAAGCTTTTGAGCTGTCTGGGATTTAATGTTGGCTCTGTGATGGGTAACCTTGGAAAGGTTCTTCCTTCTCACCTTGTAAATGTTTGTCTGTCTCCGGTGCTGTGAGCATCCTCAGCACCCACAGAAAGGGTGCAGAGGCATCAGAATTCAGCTTTGGCTGCTCCTGCCTGGGTTAAGGACGTGCTGGCTGATGTTGGCGTGGCAGGGTCTTCTCAGTGGCACAGCTGGAGGGTGGGTTTGTCACACCAGCCCTTCTCCTCTAGGCAGTCCATAGCAAGTGTAACCCACAGAGTCCAAACCCTGGTTGTCCCTTTTTTCCCTATAATCATTCCTTCTATTTTGGCATCCATTCTCCCACATAGCATCTGCCAGGCTCCAAACCCACTTCTAGACTGGCCGAATATTTTAGCTGGCCACTCAGCCAACGCTCGAGGGCTGTCCATGTGCTGCACTGCATCTGCTATCCATGCTGTCCATCTCTAAAGGAGGACATGGGCATTCCCCATTCCCTTCTCGTGGTAAACTTGCAGCAATCTTGGGCAGATATCCACTGCTCTTTGATGGACTCATGGATTACCTGGGCACCTAACACAGGCACAGGTGGCTGGGTTCTTGCAGGCTTTCCCCAGTGGAAAGAAAACCATCGGCTTGTTCTCTGTTAGATGTCTGAGAGCTGGATCTCACCTTACCATGTATGAAAGTATCCTTGAATCACCTGACACATACTTCAGGATAGGACAAACCTTGGGTCCACACCATGTTGTTGAGCAGGGACATGTCCCTGCACCAGGCAGCAACTTCACACGGATCATTACCAGCATGATTCTGCACTCCCTTTTGCTCTTACGGTTGTGGGGTGGAAATAATCACCCTTTTCTCACTGTTTAAAATTTTTCCCATTTTAGAAAATGTGTTGGAGGACATTTTAAACAAAGTAGGTTCCCAACAGCATCTAGACCAGCTCAAGACAATATGAAGAACTGTGCCATTGGAAATTTCATTTTGGGCCAATGGATGGGAGGAGATGGAAGTACAGGCAAAGAAATACATCCCAGTGAACAATGACTGAGATCTTCCAGTTGACCTTTCCAGCAGAAGGCACGGTGGGTGCTAGACACCACCTTCCAAGAATGCCTTATCTGCTTTCCATAGCCGATGATTGATCCCCCCAAGGTGACAGTGACAGCACTAACTCATAGTCCTGTTTTTTGCTCCATCCCTGTGTTCAGCTGGTGAAGACGGCAGAGCTGGACCCTAGGCAGAACTACTTGATGGGATTTCATCCCCACGGGGTCATGGCAGCAGGAGCCTTTCTCAATTTCTGCACAGAGGCATCGGGCTGGTTTCGCGTCCCATTTTTTAGGGACTACCTGATGAGCGGAGGTAAGCAGGGCGGCACCATGGGTTAGGAGTGGGATGGGTGGGTGAGTCAGATGCTTTTTGGGGGGGCAAAGAGTGAAGACACCAGGGAGGCCTGGAAAGAGGAGTCAAGGGGTCTGTTTGTCTACATCTGTGGCATGGACACAGTTACTAGAGATGGCACCCAAAAAGTCTCTGAATTTAAAAATTGCATTCTGAGCTCTTACCTCCATTGCTAACTTCACAGATGGCCTCCAAGTTCACGGCATCACTGTGCCAGGAGCTGTGTAACAGCAAAATGCAGAGCAAATCGTGAGCAGAAATGCTGAGACCAGCAGGACAGTGGGGTCCTGTGCTTTTTTCTTTCCATGCCAACAACACTTAGGCTTGAAATTGTGGTTGTCACTTGAAGAAGAAAACCTGTTTGGTGGCGTCACCAACCCTGGAGGTGTTAAAAAAACATGTAGATGTGGCACTTCGGGATATGGTTTAGCAGGCATGGTGGTGTTGGGTTGATGGTTGGACTTGATGATCTTAGAGGTCTTTTCCAACTTGTGATTCTGTGATTCTATTTTTCCAAAGCTGCTGCTGCTTGCAGGGAAGCAGCTTGGAAAGAGGATGCAAGCAGCAGCTCATGCTGTTGCAAATCCACATGGCAGGAGAGGAAGAAGAAATGAAAAGGAATAAATAAAAATTAAACGGAGAGAGGGGAAAGTGAGTCTGGAGAGATTTCTGGAGACCGACAGGAGATGACCTCCATCTGTCACCGGTGGGCTTGGGGAATGACTGCTTCTCCAGCTGAACAGGCTCATGTCATGGGCAGAATTCAATAGACTAAACATAGGCATCCAGCTCCGTCTGAGATACCGCAGGGCATTCGTCACCTTGTTTTCCACATAAACTCTGGCTCCTGCTGCGGAAAAAATATTTACACGGAGAGCGAGGAATGATAACAGTGAGATATGAGAGAGATATGGCCCAGGCGAAAGAAGATCTAATCATCGTTATGTGGGAGTTCGGTGCATAGCTCATTTTCAGATCAATTGAATCCATTTGGCAAAGACGTTTCAATGTGCAAATAATTTCAGACCCTGAAATAAGTTTTTTTTTTAAAAAAACCCCAACAAAATAATGTTGCTTTGTCATTTTTGAATTAAAGATTTCTAAATTTTGCAAGTAAATGACATCAAGGGGCCAAATTCTGCATTAAATTAAATTAATTCAAGTTAAATTAATTAAATTAGCAGCATCCACTGAAATTTCTTCTCTTTGACCTAGAGCAAATGTTGCACTGATGTTAGAATGATTCAGGATTGGACATGGTTTCATTTGACAACAAACCAAAATGGATTTTCCCTGCAGCTTAAGTGCAGCTAGTTCTCAGTTTACTTTTTTCTGGATTCCTTTCCCTTTTCACAGTTTTCGGCCAGATAGCAAAAGGATAAGTGTATATTCACACAGCAGAGCTCTGCGTGAATCCAGCACCTTGCAGGGGAGCTGGGCTGAGATTGCCAAAGTTTAGGTAAACTCGGAAAATAAAGTGTCAAGCACCACTCTGGAGCTGGATAATGGGGAAAAAAGGTACAGAGCAAACCACAGTTGTGTGAGTTTTACACATGCTCATTTTTCCTTCCTCTCTGCCCTCCAGGGCTTGTCTCTTCCGACAAGGAGAGCGCATCCTACGTGCTCCAGAAGCCGGAGGGTGGGAATGTGCTGACCATCATCGTTGGCGGGGCACAGGAGGCCCTGGATGCCCGGCCGGGATCCTGCACCTTGCTGCTGAAGAATAGGAAGGGATTTGTCCGCCTGGCCATCGAGCACGGGTGATGCAGGGGATGGGGCCAAGGGGTGCTTGGGGAGGGATGCTCCAGTCTGTGGCTGATTAATGGGGTGTTTCTGCTGATTTTGGAGAGGGGAGGAAGGTGTTTTGTGGTACACTTTGCTAATCTTCACAGTCCTGTATTGGATTTGACTCCACACAGCACCCCGCTGGTCCCCATCTTTTCTTTTGGGGAGAATGACCTCTTCGAGCAGGTGAGAAACCCCAAGGGCTCCTGGCTGCGGCAGCTCCAGCACCGGCTCCAGCAGATCATGGGAATCTCCCTTCCCCTCTTCCATGCACGAGGTATCTTCCAGTACAGCTTCGGGCTATTACCCTACCGCCGACCCATCTGCACCGTGGGTAAGTCCTTCCTCGGCACGCTCAGCCTGGCCAAAGTGGGGAACAGGGACAGTCCTTGGGCTGTGTGATCCTCTTGATGGGCTGGAGCATCACACCAGAGAGCACGAGCTGTGGTGGGCTAGCAAAGTTCTGGCAAAGGAGCATCCCCAGCTGCTCATGTGTCATGCTGGTCTGGGACTCTAACTCGGTCTTATGACAGAGCCCAGGTTGTCTGGTCTGTGCTGGGAAAGCCCCAGAGCAAACATGACCATCCTGTCACCCCTGTGGGATGCAGCCAACCCCAATCCCAGTGCAACCACTGCAGTAGCGCTGGGTTAAAGCCAATTTCAGAAACACAAGTAGGACAACACCTACATGGTGTGCAGATTTGCTCAGTGTCCTGTGCAGACAGCCACAAAACCCATCCTATTTGTACATGAACAAGTCACGCTGTTTTGACCAGATACCATGCCCATGGGAGACCAAATTTCAAGAAAGTCTTCGGTTTTGAAGGAGTTTTGCCTGGTTTCAACAACTCCATGCATGGCCCACCAGCATGGCTGATGTTCTGTGAATTAGTCTAATTAAAGAGGCTGTTTAGAAAAGCTGGAGCTCATCCCACTGATTAGGTTTGACAGCCAGCAATTACTTCTAATTGTTTAACAACCTGTTTGGATTGTCTCAATGGTTTTATGAGCTGTGCAGTATCACAAGGGCTCTTCCTTAGTCCGATGAGGAGCAGTGTCACACGATAATGAAACCCTCTATCACTTGACAAATATGAGACCAGAGCAAGAGAGGTATCTCATGGACTTCCTTGTCCCCTGCAGGCACCTGGTCCTGCTGCTGGTGGCTCTGGGAGATGGGAAGGATCTTCTTCTAATGCTGGGAATCAAATTAATTAGATTTGCTCTTGAAAAAAGCATGATTTTCTCAAGATAAGTGGGTACTTGGTTCCTGATAAAAATCAGAGGTTTCAAAGAAGCTTTAATCTGAGTAGTGGAAGCACCCCAATTGCTAGTGTATTTAGATCACAGAATCACAGAATGGTAGGGGTTGGAAGGGACCTCTGTGGGTCATCTAGTCCAACCCTCCTGCCGAAGCAGGGTCACCTACACTAGCGGGTCTTGAGTATCTCCAGAGAAGGAGACTCCACAACCTCCCTGGGCAGCCTGTTCCAGTGCTCCGTCACCCTCAGAGGGAAGAAGTTCTTCCTCATGTTCAGACGGAACTTCCTGTGCTTCAGTTTGTGCCCAAAGATAGTCGTGGACTCCCCTGTGCCTCAGTTTCCCTATTTGCAATGTAGATTCCCAGGGCCATGTGGGAACATCTTGGAAAGCCCAACTGAAATATTACAATTATGTTGTCTTTATCCACAGTAGATTTGAGATGTCAGGAGCAGCTATAGGGGCTGCATTGGGAGGCAGCACTTTTTACTTCAAAGAGCTACACAGAGGATCTTTGGCACTGACGAACTTTGTAGATGGGGAAACAAAGGCAAGGAGAGATGTGATCTAGGAGGATGGGATCTGCACCTCCATCTCGCTATCTCCTTGGCTGTGCTACCTCCCAAACCCCAGGACATGATGGGTCATATTTATCCATCCACTGCATGCTTGGAGAGGTGGACCCCCCAGCTCTATGTTAAGATGTGCTAAGTGTCCAGAGGGACCTGACACCGGCTCCTCCTGATGTCTTTGCTTGTTTTCCAGTTGGGAAGCCAATTCCAGTGCAGAGGAAGCACAGACCTTCTGAGGAAGAGGTTGATGAAGTCCATCAGAAATACCTAAACGAATTGTTCAAGCTCTTTGAAGAGCACAAAGCTAAGCACAACATACCGGAAGACAGACACCTGGAATTCATATAGAGCTCCTCAAACAAGGTGAAACCACGGAGATCAAGCTCCAAGTTTTCCCCTATCTCTAGAACTATTTCACAACCTCAACTCTGTCACAGTTAACATACGGTCCGTAAAGTGTAGGGAGAAGGCCCTGTTTTTCCCAGCATTTGCATGAGTGTAGGGCCAGATTTTTCATTTTTTCTCCCTGTAGGACACATTAAAAGTATAAAGAAGAATTACAACAAAAAAAGTCCCACCTGTGGTCAGCACTATTGAAACTCCCCAGCAGAAAACTCACACTTCCAGTCTGTCTTGGAGGCCAGTTGTTCAAGATATTTCCAGGCAGAGATGAATTACTGAAACTTTCCTTTGCATTATTTTCATTTGGAAATGGGAGGATGAGCCAGAATTTCTGCTGAATGCATATGGGTTTTTTTAAATATAGTTTGTCGAGATCAACAAACAATCATTGCTGACTTGATGCTCTTTGTGTCTTTAATTGGTCTGGGCTTTTTTCTCCCCACCTGAAACACAGTTTCTCAGAAAGCTCATATTCCCAGCACGGTGCTGGGCACCCTTGGTAGCAACGCGATGCCGTACCCTTATAAAGGGCAAGGACTCATCCAGAAGGTTTGCCCTACCTGTGCTCTGGGAGCCCTGCTTATAATTTTGTTAATGTAACCCCAGACACACCTGCACAGAAACACCTTGGACTAACCACCAGCTACAGCAGCACTGTCACTACTCTTTTCGTTTTACAAATGAGGCCATTTCTTAATGAGAGAGTGTGGCCAGGAGATGGGAGAAGTGATTTGGGACAGGAAATACGGGTCATAAAGCCATGCTTGGCAAGTGATCAAGGCTTTAAATAGCTGCTTCTTCTCGATGTCCAGAATTTTATTAAACTTTGCACTTTATGGGATTTCTCAGTGTGGAAGTTTTAGGTGGCAGGAAGCCATCTGCTCAGATCAGCTATATATTGCTCCTGTAGAGATCTTACACCATCACCTTCTCTCTCTCTCTTCATTTCTCTTTCTCTTTGCCAAGTCCCATTCCCCACCTGCAAGGAACCACCAAAAATCCTGCAGAGCCCATGCACTTCGTTGCACCCGTGGTTTTTGTTACTACAGCTGCAAGAACTGCATTTAAGAAGGAAAACACAAAGAATTGTCCCTATGCTGACAATACCAGGGCCATCATTGTGTTTTGTTTTCTTTTCCCTTTCCCTCTGCCCTGATCAAATTACTCCACTGGATTCTTCATCTGACCAACCTGCTGCAAATCCCTCCTGTTTCCAGAAAACAAGCAGCAACAGCAAAGAATTTGATGGAGCTCTTGTCGACATTTCCAAACACTCCTGTAATCCCACTCTTAATCCAGTCAAATAAAGCAGGTCACCTGCTATGATTTCTTACTTGCGTTCTATTAATAGACTTTTTCTTTTGTCCTTAATTAAGGACAGAGGTGCCTAAGCAGGAGGAATATTTATGCACCAGGAAAATGAAAATAATTCTCACCCACCCTTTTCTTTTTGTGTTCACCACCATCCAAGCTTTACCCTAACTCAAAAAAGCCAACTGGCGTTTTCCTTACCCTTTCTTCTGCCTTCCCTGCTATTGTCCATGCCATCTGCAGATTGCAGCAACATCGCCATGACCTTCTGCAAACACCCTGATGGGGAACAGTGGTAGAGGGGAGTGATGGGGATGTCCCCAGGGACACAACACGGGATGTTGTGGGGATGGGAGTGGTCTCCAGGTGTGAGGACAAGGACCTGAAATCTTGATGCAGTGGGTAAAGGAGCAAAGGTGCTGCTGTTGGGGTGGAAATCAGCAGTGCTCAAGGCAGAGGATTTGGGGAGATGTGAGATGGGTGGCTGATTGTGGTGATATTGTGGGGATGTAGGAAATGGGGAGCCAGCAGGATGCAAGGTTCAGTCTACGGCATGGACAAGGATGGGAAGCGGCACAGGCAAGAGGATTTGTGTCTGTAGAAGTGGTGTGACTCTGCCCCAAACTGGTGGAGGAGTGGCATTAGAAGATGTGATCCCCAGTTGTCCATGGAGGTCTCAGTCTTTCCCTTTGGGGACCAATGCAGCGATGCCTCTGGCGCCAGAGACCCACCTGCTTGGGAGGTGGGATGGTCCATCACCTTCCTGACTGGTGATGCCATCCTGAAGGAGAGAAAAAGCAGAAAACAGGTGGTCAGGAAAAAAATCCTCCAGAGGAATGAGGAGGAGGATGCTGGAGCTCTCTGAAGGCTGATGGGGCAGTCAGGGCTGTGCAAGACCCGACGGCAAAGGAAGACCACAGTGCGGGAGAAGATGGGTCAGAGGAGTGTGTTGGCTATGTATAATTGGCTTCTTTTGAGGTCAGTTTTATGTCAGAGACTGGAATGTGTCCTCGATCCCTCAGGGACCTACATAACCCAGGAGAGGTCAGTGCCTGGGCTTGTGTCAAATATAACATTCAGAATAATAACTCACAGGCGTCCTGGCAGCCAGGGCTATTCAGGAGGCTCAGTGTGATGAGAGGTGTCATCTTCTCAAGAAGCCAGAGCTGTCTCGGAGCAAAAAGCCATAAGACGAGAAGCTTTTGTGCAATTTCAGCCTCGTGTAGAGCTGTCTGGAGGATTAAAACTCCGCCAGTGCAATACAAGGCAGGTCAAAACCTTAAGAAAAGAGGAGCACCCGAATCAAACCAATCTATGTTTTGGTTTGGACTCTGCAGCTCAGGACTAACTCAGCTGCAGGCACAAATGCTAGGACTAGGGGACATCCAGGCTGTCACCCTGAAATAAGGTCCACTTAACTTTAAAAGGACACAACATGTTTCCTTCCAGCATGTCCACCCCCTATTTCTGCGACTGGCTTTGATTTAAGAAACAAGCCCGAGGAGCAGGGATAAATTCATCGCTTCTTTCGCAGAAATTTCAAATTTCAGCCTTGTTGTGACTTCTATGGAAATTCCAAATTGGAAAATACAGTAAAAAATAAAAGCGTAGCGATTCGGTATTCCCCTTCCTCCTGTCTCCTCCTCCGACCGCTTCCCTCATGCTCTCTCCAGTATTTCTGTGGCGGAAGGCTGTAATCTGGATTTGCCTTACTTAGCGGGTTCAGATCATGAGGCTCAGAAGAAAACCTCCAACGACTGATGAATACAAAATATGGGCTAATTCCCCAAGAGGAAGAAAGCCAAGCAAAATGCTTTTTTGCCCTTCTGTATCTCTCCCGCAAATTGTTTTACTGCCCTGGGAATGGGGTTAAAAGGTTGCTGGCTGTTGCGGCAAACAGCTAGAAAAATGTGTGGTTTTCTACTCAGGGGAAGATTTCCTGCTTTTAATTCAATAAAGACCCAAAATGTGGTATGTTAAACATCCCTCTCTCATGCCACAAAGACTTCTCCTTTTCAAGAATGAAAATGAAATTGCAAATCCACCCGAAACCCATCACTTTGCTTTTTAAACCATTTAAAGCATTGAAAAATCAACAAAAAACACAGGTCTCCCCAGGAATGTGGACACTTTTTTGGGGGTAATCTTTTAGTTCTGTCTGATTTGAACTCAATGAGCTTCTTTTCTGCATCTGCCATCAGCTGAGCAGACCTCTTGACACGGCCTTTCTGGGAGGAACCATCTGATACAGAAGTTTGCCAGACCACCTTGTTCAGGTTATAAAAAACCACCAGCGTAGAAAAAACCTGGATTTAAAGAAAACTGGGTGTGACTGATCCATTTTTCAGCTTGTGCCTGCTCGTACTTCCACCCATGTCCCATTCCCAGCCCACTCTGAGCTGCTAAGCCATGAGCTCTGTGCTAGGAATCTTCTAAGCCACCACATCTCTGGGACAGGGGGGTCTCATGCTTCAGACAGCAGAAAACCTTCAGAACACAGCATGCATTCATCAGCAAGGGAGAATTCCATAAAATCAGGCAGTCCTGAGCCAGCATTTTGAATGTTGGGGTACAAAATAATGCCTGGGAGCTAAACGAACTCATAGAAGTGTAGAATCACAGAACGGTTTGTGTTGGAAGGGACCTTTAAAGGTCATCTAGTCCAGCTCCCCCCTGCAATGATGGGGCATTACCACCTCTCTGGGCAACCTGTGCCAGTGTTTCACCACCCTCATCGTAAAAATTTTCTTCCTTACATTTAGTCTAAATCATAGAATCATAGAATCACAGATTTATTTAGATTGGAGGAGACCTTCGACATCATCGAGTCCAACCATTAACCTAACACTGTCAATTCCACCACTAAATCATATCCCTAAACTCTGCATCTGCATGTCTTTTAAATACCCCGAGGGATGGTGTCTCAACCTCTTCCCTGGGCAGCCTGGTCCAATCCTTTACAACTCTTTCAGCAAAGAGATTTTTCCCAATATCCAATCTAAACTTCCCCTGATGCAAGTTGAGGCCATTTCCTCTCGTCCTATCGCTGGTTCCTTGCGAGAAGAGACCAACCCCCACCTCACTACACCCTCCTTTCACGGAGTTGTAGAGAGCGAGAAGGTCTCCCCTCAGCCTCCTCTTCTCCAGACTGAACAGGCCCAGTTCCCTCAGCTGCCCCTCATCAGATTTGTTCTCCAGACCCCTCACCAGCCTCATTGCTCTTCTCTGGACACGCTCCAGCCCCTCAATGTCCTTCTTGGAGTGAGGGGCCCAGAACTAACACAGTGTTTGAGGTGTGGCCTCACCAGTCCTATTGCTTATTACAGCATATAAGGTTAAAAAAAGGCAGTCCAAATAGGTTTTTAACACACAGCTCAAGATGGACTGAAAATTACTTACAGAAAGCACAATGAAAATGATTGGAAAACACTTGGCTTTATGAAACACTTGCAGAAAATGCATGTGTGTAAATCATGTGTGCACAGAAAATCTTGCATACATAGAAAAAGAATGCATGCACAGAAAAAAACCCCACATACACAGAAAAGAAATGCAGGCCTAATTCCTGGGGAAGACAGCGTTTCGGGTTTCTGATCAGTTCTGATCACCTAAAATTGAAGGGAAACAAATGCAAG